AATCTGAAAAAAAAAGACTTGGAACCCAATAAACAACAAGAAATTTGAAACCCTTTCGTACGTCCCGCCTCTAACTGACGAATCGATCGCAAAGGAGATAGATTACATGATCAAGAAAGGATGGATCCCTTGCCTTGAATTCGATGAGGTACAAATTAATGCAAACAGGAAAAAGAAAAGAATTATCAATATCCAGATTATTTGTATATAATTTCAATCTCTAACTCTTAGTATTTTGTTGTGTAGGAGGGGCATGTATACAGAGAAAACAGCAGGATGCCAAATTACTATGATGGGAGGTATTGGACTCTATGGAAGCTGCCCATGTTTGGCTGCAATGACTCTACACAAGTGCTGAATGAAATTCAAGAGTGCAAAAAGGCTTACCCAAATGCTTATATTCGATGCTTGGCATTCGACAATAAGAAAAAGGCGCAATGCATGGCCTTTCTCATCCAGAAGCCGAACAAAGCCACCTAAAAGCCATCTGGTTTTCTCTTTAGTTCCAGCACCAGAACCCTATGCTGTTTTTTTTTTTTTTTTTTTTTTTTTTTTTTTTTTTCTTTTTTTGCTAGTGTGATATAATGGCTCTAAGTAATTTCAATGAAGCAAGGATTGGCACACAATTCACAAATTAGACCTTTGATACCACCAGTAGCTAATTTATAAGTCAAACAAACATTACTCATCTTTCTGTTCACACAAGCCAGAAGGTATAGGAGTAACCGCATAGATAAAGCCGAGTAAATTACAAACCATTAAAGAAGTGAAATATCGGTGTACAATGGCATTCTCAATTACAAACTAAAACACAAGCACTGCATCATCTTCGGTTGTCTCGTTTGATCTCAATCAAAGCGGATCTCCACAATTAAGGAATGTGAACTAGTATGAACTTCAATCTGCAGCAAGACCAACAATCTTGTGAATTGCAAAACAATGGTCAAGGAGGAGAAGCTCAAACTTCACAAAAATGACGTCCAGTCAAAATAAATAAATCGAAAATTAAAATTATCCTGACAAATCATCCATTCTGTAACCAAATCTCGTTTTTTTCAAGGGAAAGAAGCAAGGCTCCACATTGTACTAGGGTTTGGCATATATAGTAATAGTTGCATCAGAATCATTCAAGGACTGGTATATATGTATGCAAGGAACAACTGGAATTTGTTGCCAAACAAAAAGAGTGGTACTGATGAATGATGATAGAGAACATCAAGACACTAGTGAACTAAATTCAGAAGTTGCAGCACTTAATAAAGATGAACCCAGTTGAGCATGTTCACTTTTCCTCCTTTCATCTTGTATTATTTCTTTCCCACATTCTGGAGACTCAAAAATCAAGGCCAAAACAACACTAACTGCTTATTCAACTTTGTGTGCTCTGAGTCATTTTCCAGCCAACATACAGGTATCGAGCCATCAAAAGAAGTTATCGTAAATGGCATGGAAAGAAGTAAGGCATAAGTTAGCCACCTATTTCCGACCATAAGCGCCAAGCTGTACAGATTTTTAATAATGTCAAATTCTAACCTCTCCAGTAATTTGATGCATATATAAACTATGCATATACACCCTTGTATTTCATTATTTCACAATTCACCACAATCTTAGAGCAAGGTATACAGAAATTGCATAGCAAGTCCAATCAAGTCCTCCAACACACTTGAGCATGGTATACTCATTCTGGTTATAAAACAATACTAATCAAATTAGACCAAATAACTAGAATTACAATCCGAAGCATCACACAAGTAAAAGCAGAACCTTGTGTGACTACCCAAAACACTTAAAAGATTTGCACTTTCAAATGACAATGTTGAGTAGGGAAAAAAGGAAAAAGAAATACGGCAAACATTTGAAGTCAACAACAAAAAACTAAACAGATTTCATATACTCCCAAGATAATTCAATTCATAAATTAGGGGAAATCAAGCTAGTTGAACCGCACAAGCCATAAATACCAATCCTGACCTTGGAGCAATTGGACTATCGAGTCCGTTCAGCTGGCAAGGGGCGATTGAATCCCCCACGGCGGTTCATATACTGCCGCGGCTGCCGCTTGGTCACCTTCCTCACGGCACCGACGTCGTTCCCTGCCACAGGCTTCCCCTTGGTGGAATCGAACCCTACTGGAATGCCAAACTTCTTCATCATCTCTATCTCATCTCCGTCCATCATATCCTCGTCCTTACTGCCCTCGTCGTTGCCAACAGCGTTCTCCTTCTGCTTCTTCTCCTTTGGAGTCGCATCGTCCCTGTGCCTGTCCTTGTCTCGAGAAATGACGTCGTCCTTGTGGCGCTTCCGCGGCGGGGAGGAAGGGGAGCGAGACCGGGAGCGGGAGCGGTGGTGCCGGTGCCGATGACGGTGGCGGTCTCTCTCGTCGGGTGAACGGGTGCGGGATCGAGTGTGGCGGGATCGAGTACGGTCGGGTGTACGGGAACGAGATCGTTTGCTACGGTCCCGGTCCCGGTCCCGGTCCCTGTCCCTGTCTCGGTCGTCGCGGTCTCTTTTCCGGTCACCGTCTCGGTCGTCGCGGTCTCTTCTCCGGTCACCGTCTCGGTCGTCGCGGTCTCTTCTCCGGTCACGGTCACGGTCACGGTCCCGATCCCGGCGGTCGCTCATGGCGGATGAAGATAGATCTGCGAATTGAGTTTTTTTTCTCTTTTTTTTCAGCAGTAGGGTTTTAGTGCTTAATTTTAGTGCCCTTTCCTCAAAGCACTAGTTGGGCTCCGGTCGGCCCATCCTTTAACCAACCTAGACACATGAGCCCAAATATCAGGGCACGGGACAGGGTTCACAATAGCTAGGCCCAATAATAACATTAGACCAATGGAGCAAGGTTGTGATTTGAGACCCACATCTATAGATTAGGAGTGAGATAACCGAGCCGAAATCAACAAATTGGGTTGAATTGTGCACTTTGACGTGATTTGTTTCGGTTCAGTTAGTTAAATTTTGTGTATAAAATTTTTGGTTCGGTTTAAATTCGGTGTTTTTGGATGTAGTATTGCAGTTATGTTAATTTTTTCCACTGAGTAATTTTTTTTTTTTTCTTTTCTTTTCCTGAGTTGGTGCAATTTTGTACAAATCAAATCTGAAGATGAAAAGAAATTAAAAAAATCAAGCCGCACTATGAAATTCGGTACGGTTCGATTCAATTATTTTTTGTGTAAAAAAAAATTGATTCATAACTCTAAATGTACATGAAAAAAAAAAGAGTCTGAACTGTGCACTTCGGTGCGATGGGATTCAATTAATTTTATTTTATTTTTTGTTTAGAAAGCTTTTAATTCAATTTTGGTTCAGTATTATTATGTTTTACGGTGTGAAAATGTGATATTTTTGTTTTTACAGTTCGGTGTAGTTTGCAACCAAATACTGATAGTCACCCTTACTCATTATCTTCAATTAGTAACGTTACCTTGCCTATACTACTCTAAAAGTGAAATTATGTAGTTTTTTCCTTATAGCAATTATTTTCCCACCTAAATTTAATCTGAATAATTTTGTACTATTAATGTATATATTGTGATATAAACTTTCTATAAAGCAATGTATTGATAGGAGAGAAAGGCATTTATACTATGCAATGTCTTCAAACATGCAAAATTCCCCGATGAATGCAAAAAACTGACACAGGCATACCTTCTTTCACACTACTCCATAAACCAAACGCTTTTAAGGTCTNNNNAAAAAGCTCACACATTGATCAAAATCACCACTTTTAACTTTTTAAGGCAAAACATTCCCTAGGACCAATATTAAAATTCTACCAGCTTTACTATATGGATTAGATAGTAGGTGCAAAGTTTATTGGTGGCCATGGACCATATATATTATATGGTCACCACAAAGCAAAGTTTAGGCTTATTTGATTATTCATATGGTTATATAATTATGTATTTTTTTTTAATAAATCTGTACCTAATTTATGAAATATATAGGTTTTTAAAATATATTACTTGAGTAAAAAATTATATAACTATATTGAAAATGTATGATTATATATCCTATACATCATAACCACAACTTTACTATATTGTTTGAGAACCTCCACCACATGTTGCCATGTTTTGCTTCTTCAGGAAAATTTGTGTGTAAATAAATAGAGAAATTTTTTGTAGTAATTTCAGTGATACATTTAATATGTTTGTTACTCAACAATGTAATGGGTTTATTGGTTAATTATATCTTTAAATTTCATAATATTGTTTCATAGGATACTTTAGTTTATTGGATCATATTTCAAATTAGTTGCAAACGAATTAATTAGCCACTCACGAGCGCTTTAGTCATGATCGAGCATGAGTCACGCTTAAAGTTTGACAATCTTGATGGACGATAGAACAATCATTTCATTATAATGACATGTTTGGGAAAATTTGATGAGCACGTTTAATTTTCTACCAACGTAAAACTGATTTTTGATTTTTCATCTCAATTACTGATCTAAAACATTTTGATTTAATGAATGACCAATTGAGATATGTAAATGTAACCTTAACTATGGTGAACTAAAAATTGTAGTTCATCTCTTCAACTAACTTGAGGA